TGGGAACATGGTCGCTTCCCCATGTGTCGGGTTGAGCATTCCACTCTGCTGTTATATTCGGTGATACAAAAGTGAGATCCAAGACACTCTGTTTAACTCCCGGTCTTACAAAGGTTTCAGTTCCGTCATTCAGCGCTTGAAGCTGTAAGGACGATGTTACAATCTCCAGCTGAATTCCTCGTCGAGTAGTTTGCCTGTCTCCCCATTGCTCGTTATGGGCATTAAAATCTCCACAGATAACAAGGTGCCCCGTAGAGACATTTTTTATCTCTCGTAGGTCTTCGGGTTCCCAGCAGACATTTGGAGGAACGTAGACACTAATGATAGAGAAGAGTTCTCCTCTAGAGCGAACTGTCACACCGACGTATTCCGCTGCTCCTTTTGCGATTGAGGATAGGTCTAGGGGTTCTTGATGAATCCTTGCCCGGACAAATAGTGCCGCCCGAGACTTGCCGTCGTTTCGTTTTGATGCACTTAGGTATATCACATATGGCCCAAGTCTGCAGTCTTCAAGAAGAATACGTGGCTCTTGAAGGGCCAGAATGTCTATTTTGTTTGTCAGAAGGTGCTGGCGTAGGTCAGGAAGGCGAGATCTGAGGCTGCGTACGTTCCATTGGAGCACAGTGGGTAGTTTAGGTTTTCTACTTTGGGGCTTTCGACATCTTCCGCCGTGGCTCACTGTTGTTTGGTGAAATAGCGGTCCAACTGGTCAATGACGAATTGGACCACCCATTGTAGACCACATGCCCATGGTGTTTGTAGGGGTGTGAGAAAAGAGCATGCCATATGTGCAGCGGTTTTGATAATGGACAGCCAGTCCACATCTGGAGTCGGTAGCGAAGATGGCTTTGGATTTGTGACATTCGTTGTTGGAGGCTTGAGATTGCAAATGTTCTCCTGAGAAGGCGGATTTGCTTCGTGAGTATCGCAGTCCATTTTCTCCGTTATGGGGCCGTTGCTGGGTGTAACAGCCTGCTTTTGTGGAGGGGACTTCGGTAGAGTGCGGGACGACTGGTGAATCTCTTTTGCTATCATTGAATATGTAGTGCCGGTGACGGATGCTGATGCGGATGTTGAAGCGCATGATGCTGGAACAACTCCTTTAGCTTCCGGAACAGCAATTTTCTCGGGCGCGGTGTGTTTCTTTGTGGTCACCGCCACCAGAGATCTTTGAAAAGGGGTCGAAGCGCCGTCCTCCGTGGGATTACTTTGGGGGTTCTGTATTGCTGCTCGAGCAGTCCGGAGATCGACAGAGTTCACCTTCGAGTAGTGAAGAATGTCTCGTTCATTCTTCCATTTCTGGCATTTTGGGGATGTTGCCTCATGCTGTCCTCCGCAGTTCACGCATTTGATAGACGTGGAGGTGCATTTCTGTTTTGTTTTTTCGTCAATTGTTGGATGCTTCTCACCGCATCGGCTGCAAGCAACGGAACGCTTGCACGTGACAGCGTAGTGTCCGAAGCCTCCACACCGGTAGCATTGAGTCGGACGGTGGTGGAATTCCATCACTGGATGCCGGACTCGCCCAAGAAGAACATGGCTTGGAAGCTTGCTTCCACGAAAGGTGATCCATACGCACTCAGAGGAGCCGAAACGACGTACTCGAGCGATCTCCGTATCAGACTGCAGTCGTCCAGCAATTTTTGTTTCAGGAAGTGCTATGTCGACGTTCTTGATCACACCTTCGACTGTGGGACCTGCAAGGCCCTCGTACGCCTTCACTGGAAGTCCGCAGAGCCGTGTGCATTTGAGCAGTGCTCTTGTGGTGAATCCATTTCTCACATCCACGGCAATTAAGTTCAGACGCACATTTGGCCTGATTTGGACAATGCACTCGGGGCACAGAAGTTCTAAACCGTCTGACAGCTTTAGGCTGCTCAGACTGCTGATACGGTCACCTTCTTTTGTTGGCACAAATATCACGGTGAGGCTTTCGGTCCGAGCGGCGTCCTTTTCCGAGTCTTGACTGGATGTTTCCTTGTACCGGCGTTTTCGGGGAGCACGGGCTGGATACCATTCACCGCCGTCGTCAAGAGCAGCATCCGAGTTCAGAATCTCGCCGTCCGGAGGATCCTGGGCGTCCATTATGATTGGGTCATTGTCCGTAGTTGGAGGAATCTTACTAATGGTGGCTTCGATGTTAGGGCTCAAGTTGCTGTTCTGATCCGTGTTCTGGTCAGCGTCGTCTTGGGTGGCGTTAGGCATGATCGGCCGCCGGCGGAAGTGGTTACCCACTCCGGAACGAGGCGGAAGACGTTGTAGAGGGCTCTTGGTTAGTTGGGGATGCAGAGATGACGAAGATTGATTGAGAAACAACCAAAAATGCGGAGGTCTGAAAAAGCTGGACTGCTGTCAAGGTCGTTTTCTTCCTTCCTACGTGTGGCCGGAGTCAATGACACGCCGGCAATGGGTCACGCGATCTCGCCTGCGCCTTTGTATCACTCCGCTGCGCCGCTGGTCGTCCGCGCCGACGGCGCTCGCCGAGTATTTCGTCTGCTACGGGTGTATCAACTATGGTGCCTGGATCGGGTCTTTGACTGGTGTGTTTTGCGTTCTATCCCACCCATACATCAAAAGTGGTCCCGATGTGGCAACAAATGACGCGAGTGTCATGCTGTTGCCTGTCGCGATCCTGGCGGTTGGCCGTAGAAATGCTGGCGAAAAGCTCGAGCGAACGCGAGTGTCGCTGTCGTCACGGCGTCCCTTTAGGCGTCCCAACTCCCACTGCTTTAGCTTCCGTGAACTGTCACAGTGGAAAGCGACCTGCAGTAGAACAGGCATCTGCTACATACACCACAGCTGGTGGGACGCCGCCAGGGTCGCGACCGGCGACAGCATGACACTTCTATGACATCATCAGGCGGAAATCGAGGGACCACTTTTTTGACCGCGGTAAACACACCAGTCGGAGACGCGCTCCAGGCACCATAGTATCAACGGTATCGTCTGCTGCAGGTTCAAAAAGTGCCTTTTCACGTTCTGAAATTTAGTCACTGGGGATGTCAGTACGTAGGCTGGCCGCTGGCGTCTGTGTCCTAGCTTTCCACTTTTACGGCATATAGTTTCGAGATGTAAGTACACATTGCAAGGTGCCCGATGACCCGGCTGTTGATGTTTCTTTCTATTGTCTGCATATATCAGCGCTCGAGGCGCGGTCTTTTCCACCAGCTTCTCGGCGTTGAACGTGATCGGCAGCTGAAGGGGTGTCCTGAATTAGCCGTGTATCAGTGAATTGTAGTGGGTCGGACGCTTTTCTTGTTTACAACGCATTCGCGGTACGACGCGGCCGAAATCTCCTGCCGACTTTGAAAGTAGACATTCCATCACGACCTCTCGCGCCTGACGCCCAAACGTGTCTTTGTGAAAGGACGTTTTGAAGCGACTCGGGGTGGAAAGCAGCGAAGCACATGATTTGACCATTACGGGAACGAACTCAGAGAAACCGAGCGCTGCAGCCGTGTTGCCAGCGGATGTATGTGTTTTCCCCAAACCACATGCATTTACATATAATAATAAAAACAAGCTTCAGGTATTTAATTTCTTTGGTATCAAATCATTCTTAGCAGTACACATCTGGAATATTGTGCAATGTTTACGCTCAAAACAGTTATTAAAAAAAAAAAACTTTTGCAGACTACTTTGTGGTGCGTAGGAATGCTCTTTTCAAAGTTGCAAACCGTCCTTCAGCCTTTGGCTTCGCTCGGACGGAAGCTGAAACGAACTATGAAACATTAGCCCGTCGCTCAAAACTCGAACAGAAGATGCTTTCCCTACTACGTTTACCCCTAAGCTGGCAGTGCTGTGGAAGCTACGTGCTCGTTGGGCCAGCCAGACTTTTGCCGCGTGATCACGCTCCCTCGCGCATACGCACGCGCGGAGAATGAGGTCAGGTGATTATAGGGAGGCGGGTGATTGGTCCGGCAAGCGCATAGCTTCCACCGCACTGTCACATTAGGGGTGAAAGGAATAAGTGAGGTCCTGTGTCGTGTGTCGTCCGTTTGGGCCCGGTGACGCGCTTTAGGTGCCGCGGATGTGTCACAGTGAAAAGGCACAGAGCTTTCGAAGGGTAGAAGGTACGAAATAGTCCGCTGTGTTTTAAAATTTTCGCACTGAAAGTCAGGCTTTTAACTTTCTACCTTCTTTCTTTTCGCCCACTAAACGATATGCTATTAGTAAAATCCCAGTCGAAAGTCATTCATCTCAGCCCAAATTTCGTTTCATGGCCACTCTAACTTCTTCAAAAACTCCCGTTTTTTAAGATTTTTATTTTTTGAATTGTAAAGCGATAGCATTATTTAGCACCCCCCCCCCCCCCACCCCCTCCCCTCCTATTTCGTTGACCTTTCTGGCTTCCTGATGCGCAGTATGGTTTAGTTTTCCCGCTAAGTTTGGCGGGAAACTTGATGCCACATAACCCGACTTTACGGGAACTACAGACGCGTTTACGTTCCCGCTTAATTTAGCGGGAAAATTGACGTCACGTGACCTATGCACCAATTTAGTTTTCCAGTTAAATAGGTGGGAAAACAAGTCACGATCTTAAAATCGTTTATTCATGAAGAACGCATCAACCCTAAATCAACGCAACGTTTATTTAGCGTATTTGTCCCCGACATCGTCTTTGACGTCGTCCTTGAGGTTGTCCTACAGGTTGTTTTTGACTTCGCCCGCAAGGTGTCGCCCTGGACGTCGTCCTAGACGCCCTTGAAGTCGTCCTAGACGTCGTTCTTAACCTCGCCCTCAAGAACGTCGTCCTTGACGTCGACCTTGGCCTCGTAACAAAATAAAGGTGAACATGATGAATGTTATCGCAATTCATAGACAACCGCGAATAGTGGTTTCTGCAAGCTATTCGTTTTTAGATACCATAGTCAACTATTAAAAAAAACGAAATCTATAAAAGTCATATTTTGGTTGTGTGTCTTTTATTTGAGCCACAATCTTGCGAAACGTCTGTTCCTTTTGATAAACAACAAGCATCGTTACCGTCCACGTGCGTCTATGGTTTCGAAAAGACATTGTTATTTTTGTCTACGTTTTGAGACACGAGTATTAAGTAGAGGACTTACGAGCGATTTGACGTCGCGGTGTCAGTTGTAGTGATGCTTCCATGGCAAGTAAAACATTTCCGTGTCCTGACCAGTCGATCATCAATCCTTCGCCAGGTAGTGACCTTTTTCTTGCGGAGAATACATAAAAAATTACCGATTTGTTTGAGGATCACAGTGAAAGCTCCAACTTTGTTTTAATCGTCAGAAGGTGGCTTATGCTGTAGTCCCAGCGCCGAACCGAGCGGGCTAAGGAAGGGCCAGGGCTTGAAACGGGGCGAAGCAAGGTACTCGCGCAGGCCGGGAAGTCCTGCCACGCGCTCGCTGTATTGCACTAACGAAGGGAAATTCTTCTTGAAGTTGCTGGGCTCCACGGCGCGGACGAACGCCAGGGCCTCGAAGAGCAGGAAATCCACGTAAGTTACCTCCTCGCCAATAGCGAAGGGACCGTTCTTCGCGAGCAGTGCTTCGAACTGCCGGAGCTTCTCGGCAGAGTCTACTAGGAACTGACGCAGCTTGTCGTCCGAATATCCGGAGTCGTAGCAAAGCCGGGCGACGGACCTTATGAGGTCGAGGGCCTGCATCTCGACAACGTCCACTTGGCTCTGCAGCTCGTCGCTCTTGGGTGCGAGGCCGTGCTTGCGACCCAGGTACCTCAGGATGGCCAAGCTCTGGGTGAGCTTGACGTCGCCGTCCAGGTAGTACGGGAGGTTGGGGAAGTCCAGGCCTAGGTTTGGCTTGTCCGCGAGCCACTCTTCTCTTGTCCAGTTGGGGTCGCTGCCGTAGCCATACCTGCGTGTCCGGATAGGACAGGAAAAAAACAAAGATACAAAATCGTCATCTCAAGATTGCAGCAGAAGCAGGCGATTTTTGAAAGACCCATACCAATACAGCTCTTTCTTAATTCTTTCCGAAGTTTTTTGCACTTTCCCAACGGGCTCACGTCAATAAAATTACATTAATATATGTTTTAAATAGCGGAGCTTGGCAGCTTCTGCGAATTCTTCATTGCAAACACTGCCGTGAAGTGACAACATGACAACCTTACACATGTTTGGTTGTTAAAAAAAAAAAAAAAGGCGAACTGAGGCGTAATTTTTGGAATCAAAAATCGGAAACTGGGTCAGACAGACATAAAATACGCGAAGGTGGTCTTTGGTATTGCATTAGACAATGATTTTGATGCAGATAGCTGGTAAACACGCGAAATACGGCAAGATTACGAAATTAAGCTTTAATAGACTTTATCATGTACGACCCAGTCTAAATGGAAGTTCTGCAAGTGACACTGTCCGACAACAAACTCGTTCTACTAAGGGTAACTAAAAGCATATCAAGTTTCTGAAAAATAATGGCCTGTTTGCTTTTAAATATTTACTCATAATTTTATATAGTTTAAGTTTTGTCTAGATAGATATGTGTCAATAATGCCTTAGCAAAGGTAAACAAAACCTTAACCATTCGTAAAATTATTGCATCGCTCAGTCGCAAGGGGGAGTCAGTGAGGTATGAAACAGCTTCTATACTTCGTCTCACCTTACGATGGACTAAAGGCAGAAACTACGAACCGCCAGATCCAATCACGAGCAACTTAGACATTGTGTGGTATTTCGCTCCGATGCACGTATCGGTGCCCACGTCTCCGATCACTGATGGGAACGGGCGGACAGTGGTTCGGAGGGAGCAATGAGTGACTCAAGAATACTACATTGCAAAGAAAGTCACGACGTACTGGCTCTTTGCAGTGTCGAAACTACAGAAATGACGCAGCGTTTTTGGATTCGGAGCATTTTTGTCCAATCTTAATCAACGTTAGGCATGTCATAGTTTAGCGTGGAACGTGATTGGTCCTGGCGGCCCGTGGCTTTCACCTTTAGTCCATCGTAGGATGAGGCGAAGTATAATGACAGCGAGATGACATTTATTTACTATAAAGGCGTTTTCTTTATTGGTATTCGCTTATTTGAATCCCGCCCCTTGAGAATGTACGGAGCTTACCAGCTATGTTGGCTCGCGTTCTGCCTGTAAGTAGAATATATTTATCTTTTAAGCAAATCGATCAGCAAAAATTAATATCTTATACGAGGTATGCTAATAAATGTCAAAATATTTGTGGTGCGTACCCTTGATCGACACTAGCTGCCTTGGAATATAACTGTCAGGGTTGTTGCTGTCTATAAATTTAGCCTCATACTACTTTCTAAACTACCCTAACAACTGAAATCTTAAAAAAAAATCGTGCGGGGTTCGACGATATCTTTTGAAACCTATAGCTTGTAGAAAAAGTTCATGATATTATATCAGTTTAACGTAGACCAGATAGACTAGATTTGACCGGACACGTAGGAACCCCCTTATAAGCAGCGAAAAGCCCCTATAGTCACTGACAGTATATGAACGGCAGGGCGTGCCGTTTGAACTCCTTGCCTCCAGAAAGTGCTCCATGCCTTCCGCCGTGCTGCACTCCAGGTGCAGAACGGCGGAAGCCACACTCAAAGTGAACAAGACGCCAAAGAGCTGTCGAAGGGCAGAAGCTGGGGTTGAGGCGGAAATACTGAAGCTCCTCTTTGCCGCTCTCACCTTGCCAGTGACTACAATGAACATCGCTAAAAACCCTTTGACGCCAACGGAAACGTAAATGAAATTGAATGAATAGGGGCCGAACCTTCATTTCCTCAATCTTCCTGGCAACAATGTCTTGGGTTCATGTGCTATATGCTCTCTTCACTTGCGTAGCGTAAAGTGGAAATATATCACTCTAAAAAAAGCCCGTTTGTCTACTTTCCCGCACAACACTTGGAGAGCCAATCACCGCGACTTAGGAGGCAGCTCAGCGAAAGACGACACCGAAATAAATGTTTAGACAAGAAAACGCAATGTGATGTGTGACAATAAGCAATGCAAACCGTCACGCTTGCATTAATGTCACAACTCAGACCAATCACGCAAAAAAAAAAGCATAGGATCACGGCGCATATCCCGTGCGTGATTGGCTTAGCTGGTAATAGAGAGTGTACAAAGAGTACAAGCCAGGTCAATGTTCGCGGCCTTGCTCGATTGACTCCATCGGATCGAAACGTGGGCTGCGCTCGGACTAGGATTGAAACAGAGTGTAGTCACAATTAAGAAAAATTCGGGGTTGGCATATTATGTTAATTTATTTTACTTCCCGATAAGTTCTTCGGCATCGGCTCATACCGCGGTGTCGTTAGCTGCGAAGCAAAACACAAAAATACTCGCGACTGACCCCCCCCCCCCCCCCCCTTTCTCGGGTTTCTGAAGCTATCCGTGACATATACAGGGTGAAACAAGGAGACTCCAGGCTCTTTAAATCGACCGGAAAATTCGGTTTCTTAACTATCGCGCTACGACTTTGTGCAGCGTTGCCCACAGATGGTGCATTTTTTTTTTGTAAAATTTGCGAAGAGCGAACTTACCCGAGAAAGAAATAAAGAAAGAAAAAGGCTTAACTCCTATGGAAACGCAGTGACGCCACCGGTCTGCAAACAACACGGCGCCGTTTCGCACGGGAGACAAGAGATGGCGCAACAAACGCCGCCAACGAACGAGCATACGGCGCCGAGAGCAGGCCTTTTTAGCAGACGATCTTTTCAACTCAAAAGCGGCGCGCGTTCCGCAGGCGGTGACAGTCGCAGAAACAAAAAAGACAGGCGCGGTAACAGCAAGGAACTACAGTTCCTTGTCTGCAAAAGGTCCGGCTCTCGGCGTCGTCTGCTCGTTCGTTGGCGGCAGTTGGCGTTGTGACCGCTTGCGCCATCTCTTGTCTCCCGTGCGAAACGGCGCCGTGCTGTTTGCAGACCGGTGGCGTCGCTGCGTTTCCATAGGAGCTAAGACTTTTTCTTTCTTTACTTTTTCCTCAGGTAAGTTCGCTCTTCGCAAATTTTACAAAAAAATGCACCATCTGGGGGCAACGCTGCACAAAGTCGTTGCGCGATAGGTTAAGAAACCGAATTTTCCGGTCGATGTAAAGAGCCTGGAGTCTCATTGTTTCACCCTGTAGTTTGCCCTAATTTAAGAAAAACCTCCGGGACTGAGGAAAAGACGATGGCTAACGCAGCACACAGAGTCTGAGACTGCGTGTTGGGTTTAGGGATGCCGCGAACCACAATAGATTCGAATTCGAAAGCTTTGGATATTTTTGAACCGAACTTATGTTCGAATTCAAAAGGTTTCGATATTTTCGACCGTACAGAAGTTAGAAATAAAAAAAATTCGCAACTTTCAAAAATCGTGGAGTTTCGAGTTCGAAAATTTTGAAGCTTTCACGGTTTCTAAAAGTTCGGGTTCGATTATTTCGAATATTTTTTACTTGAGGTTCAAGAAAATCGAAGATTTCGAACTTTCCTAACTTGAAATTCCAGAGATTCGAATGTTTCGAATTTCTTTGGATCTGAAATTGGAAAAATTCGAACGTTTCAACTTCTTGTAGACATAAAGTTCGATCAATTCGAAGATTTCAAATTTCTTTCTACATAAAGTTCGAAAAGGTCGAAGGTTTCGATTCTCTTTTAGGGCTAAATTCGAAAGAAGAAACCTCGAAGGTTTCGAATTTCTTTCAAGTCCAAGTGCGCAATGTTCGAAGTCCGGTTTTCATATTCCGCCACAGTTTCAGTTTCAAATAACGTTTTCACGCCTCACTGGTTTTCACGAAACCAGGTTTAGAAAAGTTCGAATGTGATATTTAGACTGCCCGAAGTTTATTAGGAGAATTAAATGAGACGACGAGCGTCCCGAATGTGCTGGAATATTTGCCAGTGCACAGTGACGTGTGACAATAGATCAGTAATTGTGACCGCCAGCCCGGGGTGGTCATCAACATGCATCACGAAGTAGTGATCACACGAACGCACTGTTTAACGATACTCATCCAGTTCGAAACGGCCAGGGACAGGCAGGTGGTTGAGGCTCAGAAAAACCTTGAAGCGATCTGGCAAACTGCCTCCCTACCTCCTTGGACGCTAGTAATCCGGTCGAACGCCACCCGAGTGACGCTGGCATATAGCATGCTTAGTTTGTACATGATGCGAAATCCTGAGACTGGGAATGAAATTTGTAAGAAAAAGTGTAAAAAGACAAAAAAAAAGGGACAGTACAACGCCTCAAACTCAGCTCTGGGGATGAATTTTGAAAGAAAAAGTGTAAGAAGGCAAAAAAAGGGGACAGGACAACGTCTCAAATTCAACTCAGCTGAAAACTCAGCTCAGGACAACGTCTCAGGACAACATCTCAAACTCAACTCAGCTGAGTTTGAGACGCTGTCCTGTCACCTTTTTTTCTTCCTTCTTGCACTATTTCTTGCGAATTTGATTCCCAGTCTCGGGATTTTGCATCATGATCAACATTCACCAGCTCGCCTGCACCTTCACAATTTTTTAGTTTGTAATTGCTTTGGAGGTTTATTTTCCAGGACAGAAGAAATTCCGAGCAAAAAACACAGAAACTGACACAACTTGAGGTCGAGGAGCGTTCTACCGTACCAGTGGCGTCCGCAAAGGAAAAACGGGGGGGGGGGGGGGGTGCTCCAGTCTCTCTCCCCCCCCCCCCCCCCCCCCCCCCCGATATTTCGGTCAGTTAAAGAAAACAATAGGGGGAAAGACGGCATGGTCAAGCTTGTTTTAATCTGAAATTACTTAGACATATGTATAGCTACTGTCGCTCTTCACTGCATAAAAGATCGCGTAGATGGTCATTGTTAGAAACTCGTTGTCAGAAGGCACTACTCGTCACATGCTCGGTGGTTCGGGAGTTCAAAGCTATGTCTCTTTGACCGA